ATCGCGATTGCAAGTCAATCGTATAATATTCCAATTGCATCGAGGCTCGAGTGTGTATAAAGGTGGGGGGTCGGAGCTGGAAACGGCATGAAATACTCGTCTAAGAGACGGGAAAAAAAGCTTTGGCGTTGGCGTGGCATTTGGCATGTGGCGTTTTCCGCGCGTGCAGTCACCACTAAAAAATCAGTCGTCGCGGATCACTTTCAAAGGTCAGGCTAATAATAATCGACGAAAGAAGAAAAATAAAATGCGTAGGTCGAGTCGGTGCAACGACGCTACCCCCCCCCCTCCCATCCTCGCGCTGCCTTTCGTTTTCTATCTCTCTCTCTCTCTCTCTCTCGTTCGATCGTGCACGTGGCCGTGTTAGCGTGACGTCATCGCGGCCGGATGGAAACAACGATAACGACGCTTAGAGGCGGCACTGCGTAAAAGCTCGCACCGTTGTTTCGCCCCGCGGAGGAGACGTAGCACCGCGAGGCCCTGCGTCGCGGTACTGCAGCTTGAGAGAACATCGACGCCGTCGCGTGACGTCACGGCGCCTCGACTCTATTCCTGTCTCTCGGCGGGCCGTCGATGGCCTACGCCGGTGCTCGTTGCTCGAGCTCGATCTTCGATATTGCCACTCGAGCGCCGCCTCCTTCCTTGGTTTCTCCGTTCTCTCACCCCGCCTTACCTCGCCATCCCCTCACCGTCGACCCATCACCCCCTTCGCTCACCAAACCCCTCGCCTACCTGCCATTCTCGCTCCCTTCCCTCTTTCCAGTCCGCGTGTCTTAAATGTCCGTACGACTCTTGCGCTTCGCGTTCACTCGTCCAAAGCTAGAAGCTACTCGCGCCATTCGTGATCTTGAAATTCTCTTCTTTTACAATATTATTTGCATTTTGTAATCTTCCTTTCGCCGCTTTCAAACGCTAAAATATTAAGGCACACCTCTCTGTACCATCGATTGCTTATATTTTTTTCAAATCATTAGCTTTACGTTATATGCTTCCACTTTATTGCTTGTCATTTTTACCCTTTTAACGCCCATGTAAATTATATCATTAAGACAAGGATTTTTTGTCACGTGACATGAGCGATTCCCTTTTTCATGTCTCAGCATTGTTTCAATTAGGGTTTTGTAATTACATATGATTAATTATCAAGTATAATGGAATATCGAAATTATGATAATATGCACTTTTGTAGCATTTCAATTTCTAAAAACGCGTTAATTGTATTTGACCCAATCGATATAATGCTAGTCTTATAATTTTTAATTAATAAATTTTCAATTTCAATAAAGGTAGAATAAAAAATTAAACGAATTTTTTCAGCCTCTATAATTTCTCGTATTAATTATTTGGAAAAACTATTAAAATTTTTATTGTCAAATGGATTGAAAATAATCATTTATAAATTTTATTATTGTGTATCTTGGCGAAGCAATCATGACATAAAATACAAATTTGATTTTTTTTTTTTTATTTTATTTATTTATTTATTTTTTTATTTTTTTATTTCAAAATTACACTCCAAACGTTTGAATAAACTTAATGTAACTCTTTTCTATAGCAAGCGACTTTAAATAAGAAACCGAATTCCTTCAAGAAAATACTTTTTCAACATTCTATGATCTATTTTTATTACATAGTATCGTATTTTATAGCTTCTGCAAGAATTTCTTTGTATATTTTTTAATATTTTTGTAGTTATCAAAGCTTACTAAAAAATTATGTATTATCATTTTTATCCATAAGAATGTGATATTACATTTAATTATTAACATTGGTTCATTCGTATAAAAATTAATTTTTTTGCCGCAAAAATTTATTCAATGTAATAATTTTTTCTTCTTCTTCTACCATTAATGTTAATTGAATACATTAGATTCGGTGGAAAAACGTAGCATAATGTCAAAGCAAAATAGATAGCGAAAAATAAATGACTATTTCATTCGTCAATTACAGAATGCACAAATTAAATGAAAAACAACGGTAAAACGTGTTTTTATACATAAGCTGAATAACGTAAAACTTAGATTTTTAACGAAATGTAAGAGTTTAATGCACTAAAAAGTAATTAAGAAGCCTTAACGTTTCATACTGAAATCACATGACTCAAATCAATGTATACGTAGTGTTTAACATTCTCGTTTCTTATCTATTGAAATATTATTAAATATTTTTATCTTATAATATTATCTAGAATTTTTTATCATTTGACTCGACGATTATTATTTATAATATATGTATATTATCAGATATAATTTTTTCATGAATAAATATTAAGTAGTTGATAAATATACAAGTATAGCTGTTTCAACTGAATTATTTGCAATATTGCCGAAGTCATGGAAACGATTATATTTATTCATAACGTTTACATTATTAATTAATATAATTTTTGTAAATTGATATAATAACGTAATTTATAAAGCCAAATGAAAATTGTCCTTCGTATTTATAACTATTTATAACTTTTACTCATAAGTTTATGATTAAAATTGAATGGATTGCGATTCGTTATGAAAATACAGATTTACGATAAAAACATTATGACGAAGCAAGTAACTACTGATCACGTTCAAAGCATGATTTCATAAAGCGTTCGTAATGTCTGTATAAAATACATTTAATCATTTGAAGTAATTTTATCGTTGTCATTACCATTTATTTTGATTACTAATTAAGCAGTATTGCAGACTCGACGATAATTAGCTTATCAATATCATAACAGTGAACTTCTCTACCCAACGATCTAAATCTATGTAAAATATCGTGCATACTTTAAAGATTCTTTAGATTCTTTCTTTAGATTCTATATGTATATATGTAAACACGCGCGCGCTCACACACGCGCACACGCACACGCACACGCACACACATATATATATATATATATATATATTTCGCTATTTTTTATTCAGCTTTTATTTTTAATGATAAATCTTTCTTACATTTGTGTTGTAAAGTTTGTAATATTACTGATGAAAGAGAAACAATTTTCTTTTTTTTTTTTTTTATATATTAAAAATGCTTGTATATTAAAATTTCAATAGCTGTTTGATAATGATAAGTACTCATTTTCAGAATATATTTATTTAATTTTTTCGCTTCTAGATTAATTGTCTATATTCAACAATAACCATAAGCTTTTTAAGCTTGAACTTTTTTAGAAAATTTTTATGAAAAAAATGTTTTATTAAACTACTTTTAAATTACTATTTACTTATACTTATTTACTTTAACTCTCCTTTATAAAAGTTCTATATATGTAATCTCGATTCTTTTCTTATCTCTCATTGAATTGGAAACCTCAGCATTTGTTAGTATTTAAATTATACCATTAACATAAACACTTGTACTCTCGTTTACAATTTTCTCATGGCGCATTCGAAAACTAAATTCAATTACCTAGATTAACAATAATGTTATTAATCCTTCGTAGATCTAAAATTTACATTATTATGATACTTATTGTTTATCGTGTGTATTTTGCAATTACTCTATTTAAATTGAATGTTTTTTCCTTCTTTTTTATCCAATTGAATACTATTTAAAAAAAAAATTTTTTATACGAATTTGTAAAATATGATATACATACTATTTTTTCAAATAATATTTATTGCATTATAAAATATGATAAACAAATAAAAAATTATTGCCATTATCGTAATCAATGAAGAAGCTAGAAATTTTGCTGAAAAGTAATAAAACATATTGATTAAAAATTGTTATTAGTAATTTTCTGCACGATTGAAATATTTAATTTTTATCTAACATACACTTGTGTTGAATCATTATACAGGTAATATTTATGAGTAGTATCAATATTAGCTTATAAAAAGTTAAAAATTGTGTGGCCAAATACATTGACTTATTGACCTCTTTTCAGTTCGTACTGAAATAATACTTGTAACTTGAATTATTCAAGGGTACTAATGAAACGAATCTTCTTCTTTATTTACATAAGTAAAAATTGTATTAAAAATACTCTGACTTATTATACGTTATATTCAATTACACCAATTGCGTATGATTAATTTTTTATCATAAGAGTGAATGTATTTGTTTGTAATAATGCCTATTGTCATTGTAATTTGTAAATAATTATTAAGTATTAACAATTTTCAATCCTTCGTGTCTTTGTTATAATTGTTCGTTCCAAATATTGAATGAGGATTGTAGATAAATTTTAATTAATCGTAATTAAAGGAAATATATATTACAAAGTTAATAATTTACTTGTTTATTAGTGAATTTTTCAATTAAAGTTCTTATTAAATTTCTTCTTAAGTTTATCGCTAAATTTCTTTGTTACAAAATCTCGAGTAAGAAAATATTAATGATTAGGAGATGTTATCATAGTGTTGAATTACTTTATCTTGAATCATAGATAATAATATAATAATAATAATTAAATACTCGAGATATTTTATTTTTTACATTACCATCATTTTACCGCTTACATTATGTCTGAATTTTGAAATTACAAAGGTAAAGTGGTATTCAGAATTTACAATTGCTTGCAAAAAAAAGTTCAATGAAAATAGAGACTTTAACAAATCGTATATCGTAATTATAGAAATAATACTAAATATAAATATCTGTTTAATTTCTTCATTTTTGTAACTTTATTTTTATACTCATTTTTAATTAATAAACTTGACATAATATCAATATTTATTCGTATACTTTTCGCATTAATATGATCTTTTTTTACAGACATATATTTTACTCTTAAATTTTACTTTAAAATTTTTCTCTTAAATACAATTTTATTTTGAATTTAAGGGTGTAACTTAATCATTATATAATTTTGACTTCCAAAGTTTTGCAATCGCGAATTCAAAATTACGTAGTTCTTGAGAGTTATTAATTAATTATAAAGTATTCTAGCACTTTCTTGATTACGAAGTTTTATCAGTCTCATTGAAATTTTAAGAAATAATAAATCTTTTCTCCAAATTGTATTTCTTTTTTTCTGACAGTTTTTGCACTTTTTTTGTGCATTTCAGAAACTCTTTAACGGAAACTCGGATCAAATCATCGCTGACCTGATAAATATTAAGACCATGTGAGATGAGGGCTGGTAAGCGTACGTATATTAAGAAATTTACTTATACTCCTTTAATAAGTAAGTCTAGTTCCTTCAAAATTATCCCGTGCTGTGTCGGTAGCGCAAATACATAGAAACTTAATATCGACAAAATAATATGGATCGATTTTAAACTAAAAATTTTATTAAAATTCTCGGTAAATATTGCCATACTATTCATTATCAGTATTAATATAAACAATTCATTCAATTCAATTATCTTATATATATATAATTTTAAAAAATTGAACAAATATATTCTGAAATACAATATATTAAAAATATCATATTTCTGATTAAAAGTTGAATAATAATAATAATAATAATAATATTTTTTTTTTTTTTTTTTTTTTTTTTTAACGAAGAACCGATATTTATGTCAAATTATAATATTAGTTCTTTTAACGTATTCCATTGTTTCAACTGCAAAGTAGCAAATATCCAACAAAATAAATCTAGGCAGCTCAATTTAAACGAACGTTTCATTTTTATGATCTTTTTGTAAGAGCCGGAGTCCAGCATTAAGCGTTAACTATCGCTTGTGATAGTATAAACATTGAGCCTTGGAAAATAGTAATAATTATGTTCTCTCCTTGGGAAAGGACCACGAAATGTCGATTTGATTGATGTCGCGGAGCAATAAATGCTTATTTTCACAGTTTTATGATGAATTTCAACAAAAGTGGGCGCAGTTTTTTGATAATCCGGATCATAACGTATTGAATGCCTATTAAAATTTATTATTAAATACTGTCGAGTGGTTATTTTTATTATTTGTAAATTATTTATTCGAGGCTAATTGTACAAATAATGATTCTAATTATTACAGTTTACCATATTATCGATATAATTCACAAGTATCACTTGATTGAACGAATTTAAGTTAACGATGAAAATTTGTTGCTATAGATGCGAGATCTTTTTCGCATTTAAATGAAAAATATCTTCCCTGTCACGTTTCTAACTCTCTGATTTTCTTACGTGCATCCTTCTGAATGTCGGAAAAGAACGTGGAGGACACTTATCGAGTCCTCGGCACGTGTAGAGATCCATAAAAGTTCGCTCTCCATTCGCTGTCGGAAGGATATGCTTAACACATGGATTTGCTTTATATTTTCAGTCATAGATCATGAGCGTACATAATTTCTTTGATAAAATAATGTCACATCCTGTTAATCTTCGATGAATATTAATAATCTCTTAAATTTTAGATTTCAGAATTCTGTTTATGCTAATGAATGCTCATATTTATTAGTAATTAGTTGAATATTATACAAGTGGTATATATATTTATATATATAGCACTCAAGCATCGATGATAAACTATTGATATTGATTTTTCAATTGAACATATTTGTCATTTTACTTTAGAAGGACTACATTATGATATTTTATCTACCAACTGAGCTTATAGTTCAAGTAGCACTTGGCGGGAGGAAGAAATTAATTATTCAACGCAAATGAAAAACTCTAACTGACACCAATAAATATTTTAGCGTTGAACTTCTATTTTACTCATACATTCTCCTGTTATAATAAACGTAGCCTAACTTGCAAATTAATTACAGATAATTTTTTATTGTTTTATAACAATATTAATTTCATTAATAGTGTACATTTTTATTTATTTACTATTACTTAAATGTGAGGGAAAACTTAAAATATGTTCTTAAATTCTTGAAGTAATATTAATAAACAATGTATCTTAATAACTATAATCTTATCGTTGATATAAATTATAAATTTTTATAACATTTATGCATATTATTTTCAATAAATAATAAATCAAATTTGTTAAAAATTTGTTTAAAATTATAGTTTATAATTATTATAAATTAATTATTTTCAGGCATTTACTCACAATTTATAAATGAATCGACGTATTGTGTGTGCAAATCTGGGTGAACTTATGTGGACTTCTTAATTATCTTATTAAATAATATTATAAAATTCAAATTAAATTCACATTATTGAAAAGCATTATAGATTATAATTGTAAAGAAATAAATTCTATTTGTTTAATAACTTTTGATAGAACATTTAATAGAAGAATATTTGTCCATCTTTCGTTTAATCAAAAATATGAAAATAAAATCAGTGATTAATTGAATAAAAATATCTATTTGATTTTTAAAATCTTTAAATATATGATTAAAGATTATACGAGTATAACCTCCCCCCCCCCTCCCCCATTTAATCAAATTTTTAAGCAACTAATAAAATTAAATAGTTAAATTAATCAAGGAGAAATAGGTTAAATTAATTAAAGGTAAGCTACTTGAAAAACAAATTTCATTATAATCGTTTTATTTTGTCCACAATATCAAATGTTTCGTTATAATTAAATTTAATTAAATAAATTTCAAAATTGAAGTTTGATGAAAAAGAATTCATTGTTTGTTGGGGAAAAAAAAAAAAGAAAAGAAAAAAATTATACAATCTTGTGGTGATAAGTCAACACATCCACAAATTTAACATCAAAGAATGGATAAGATAGTGATAATTTATTAATATAAAAATTAAATACACTTTAACACTTTGCTGTAAATCAAGAAGCCTTTTGCAATTTTATCTGAATATTTATATTGAAATTAATATAAAAATTGATTGCAAAAATAACTCTATAATTTCTAACTGCAATCCATTTGTATACATTTTTAGTTTTATAGAAGACTTGAATAAGCCATAAATTTAGAGTGCTACAGCAATCTAATCTAAGAATTTAATAATAGATTGTATTACCAGCTATAATGAAAATAGAAGAAGTTCTTAATAATTATTAGCGTAACACAGAACAATCATTTATCAGAATGAAATTGAAACATTATTATTTTCTTTGTACGTCGTCAAAATAAAGCTAAACCAGAGTTGGCCGCGAAATAGAAAATACGTTATCGTATAGTTATTTTCAGCCGAAAATGATGAAGCTTTTACAAGCATAATTCTAAATTCTAAATTTTAAGGTGCGCAAAATATAATTTACAAACTATTTTAGCTCGAAAAAACATTATGTACTAAAGTGGTAGGAAATTTGACAAGATGAGATGCATGTGTGTGAGATACGAGGATATAAATAACGGTGATTGTATTAATATGATAATAATATACATGTATCCAAAATTGAATGGTGAGCTAATATTTTCTCCTTTTTACGAAAAATTGTAACTCTTGCATATTTTATTTGGAAAATATTTTCCGTGTTTAAGCATTAAAAATTAAATAAAACGTAGAGTACGTAATGCATTCTATACCATCAAATTTCAAAATAATGTTTCACCCAATTATTTACATTTCTCAATATATATAGATAAATATATATATATATATATATATATATATATATATAGATAAATAGATAGATAGATAGATAGATATTACAAGCCGTTTGATAAATAGAGAATGCTCTTTGTGGATAGCCAATTTCGAATCTTGAAAACAAGTTTACGAATCCGTATGTTATTTATCAGCACTGCATCTCAGTCACCGAACAAATCAGAAGAGTGGCAAATTTATTAGAGCAATTCATCCATGAGAAAGCAGAAAGCGTAAAAAAGAAAAGCGAGCAATGATCCACGGTGTAGTGTTCGGTAATAACGAGAGTAGCTCAGGCCATAAGCCAATACTTGTTCGGCTGAAAGTTTCATACAAGCGTAGTAGTAGCAGTGGCGGCGGTGGCGGCCAAGTCTCTCCTTTGCATTCCTCAGCGCTATATGAATGGCTGTTATCTCCCTCTCGTGAGAGAACGTGGGAGAGGGATGGGGAACGCACGGAAGAACAACAGGCGATTCCGTGCGCGAACTTGGACTCGGACGAAGGAGCTGGGTAAGGTTAGGCGAGAAACAAGTGGATACGTGGACCGAGCTCGTGTCACGGCTGCACACGAGAGCGAGACTGGCTAGAGGCGAGCGAGAGATCGTGAGAAAGTGCGACGCTGTACAGACACGCACGCACGCGCGCGCACACACACACACACACACACACACTCTCTCTCCCTCTTTCTTTCTCTCTCTCTCTCTCTCTCTCTCTCTCTCTCTCTCTATCTATCTCTCTCTCTCTCTATCTATCTATCTATCTATCTATCTATCTCACTCTCGCACTCTCTTCTCCCTCCCTCCCTCGTCCACTTATTGTTACCGTCTTCCCTTTACCCTGTGCTTCTTCTTCTTCTTCGCGCTTGACCTCGCTTCATCTCCCCGATCCCGTTAACCAGAAGTTTATTTCATGGGCGGCCCCGTGTCCGAGGATGTTCCTAACTCCGTTGTCGCCCTTGCCGTCCTTCATATCTTTCAAATCATATTATCATCGGAAGACTGAAATGTAGATAATGCAACCGCGCACGCAAGTAAAAATCTTATCCCTTGAGCTTTTAATCTTGAGCGTCCCGATTCTTAAGCCTCGTGAAATTTAACTCACCGCCGGACTTAAATTTATAATTATTCTTACGAAAATCAGACTGTCGACTCCGTCCCTTACGCTTTCTTATGACTTAAGAACACTATGAAGGAGCGTAATAAGGCAATTATATTCTGTTTACCGATTTGCAGTTATAGCTTTAACTAATTCAAATTTTTTCTTTCTTTCCTCTTTTAGTACGTATAGTTTTTAAGTTCGGGCGCATGCTTCAATATTTAAGAGAGCGGCTTTAAATGAGAAATAGTTTTAATATTGCAACGCGAAGCTGTAGGTTTTAATTTTTAATAAAATCGAAGCTTCAAAAACTCTGTTCGTGATATGCCTCGAGACTCATTTGGTAACATTTTGAAAAGGCTACTACTACTACTACTACTACTACTACTACTACTACTACTACTACTACTACTACTACTACTACTACTACTACTACTACTACTACTACTACTACTACTACTACTACTACTACTACTACTACTACTACTACTACTACTACTACTACTACTACTACTACTACTACTACTACTACTACTACTACTACTACTACTACTACTACTACTACTACTACTACTACTACTACTAAGAATAAT